TTTGACCCCAGTACTTTTTTCTGCCATGGCAGGGGGTTGGACTTGATGATCTGCTCAGGTCCCTTCCAACCCTACCAACTATGAAACTATGAAACCTCAGCATGTTGGCTGGTGTTAGTACAGATGATTAGTGTTGGATAGCCAAGTACCTGGCTAGTTCATGATGTGGACATATATAGGTTACATGAGTTTTATAGTGGTAAGTGTGGTGGAGAACAACTGGGGTGCTCGCCACTTAGTTTGGGCTGCAGCAGGCTGGAGAAGAGCCTGCATGGAGGATAGCCGGGAGACACCGCTGAGCAGTCATTTTAAGGGGGAAGCTGTTTGGCAGAGCACCAGTGGGGTGCTCACCACCTAAGGGCTGTTGCAGACTCTGAGTGAGCCTGCTTTGTGAGCAACAGGGAAAGCCTCCCCCAGGAACCATTTTAAGGGGGAAGGTGGGTGGCAGAGCAAGCACATTTGGTGTCTGCCACTTTAAGGAGGGGAGCAGGCAGCAGGCGAGTGCAGGCCAGCCCTGATGAGGTGGCCATTTTAAGATCTTGGCTTTCAGGGCTGGAGCAGCAGTTTGCTGCCAGCAGCTGAGGAAGCAACAACACCTGGCTGAGCTGCTGCTCATAGAACATCTTGGAGGTAAGGGATGAGCTCTGGGGGTGGCAGGAGGCTCCTGGTCCTGGGTATGACTGACAACTGCACCCTGCTGGGAAGGGAGGCCTGGTGGGACTCCCTGTGATGAGGGAGTCCTCAAGAAATGCCAAGCCAGTTACCTCTCTGGTGAAAGGCGGGGAGGGGCACCTTAAAACCCCAGCCCCACCATTCGGTAGGTTAATAACATCAGAGGGGAGTAGGGCCAGGCACGTCCAGGGAGGGGCACCTGAGCCCAGAGTGGGTAGTGGGGCCAGGCAGACCCATGGGAGGCACCTGAGCCCATGGGGGCTGCAAGATCCCAGAACCCCAGCAGAGGGGGCGAGTGTGCTGAGGCTGCAAGTGAGCCTGAGGCTGAGCGAAGCGGCATAAGGAGAGCCGCAAGTGAATGGGGCGAGTCACTGGCCCCAATTAGGAGGCCCGTGGGCTGTTACACAGTGAGGGGCCAGGGGTACAGTTAGCTCAGTGTTTGGTTAATTGCCCAGCCACCGCACACATGAGGGTTACAGGAGACGCCCAAAAGTCTGTGCCAGGGCTGGCCAAGGAGAGTAGAGACAAGCCTGATGGCCCACATGGTCACTTGAAGGAGCAGGGCAGCGTGCATGTGGCCCAGTGAGGGGCGTGAGTGAGAGGCCTGGTGAGAGTAGGCAGAGTGGTAGAGGCCCCAGTGAGAGGGGAGCAGTATGTGTGAGGCCCTGAATAGGGCAGCGTGAGAGAGGCTTAACACTATGCTGAGTTGGGCCCAGCTTCAGGCCAGAGCATAGCACAACTCACGGAAACACCTGAGAGGCATGGGACACAATAAGAGAAGGTCAGTGTTTACTGCCCATGAACAGCAGGCTGCTGAAAGGGCAGCCTCCCGCCTGAGAACATCAGAATTATTTAACAACAAGGCGTGGCAGGAAAGTAAGGCAGGCGGTGTGCCTAAACACAGGTGGGTGGGCCAGCACTGTGACTGGGCCTGGGAGTATGCCCCCTGCCACAGTAAGGTAAAGACTGGTTCTTGGGGATGAACTGCCCTCACAGAGGACTCTTGGTGTGCATCTACCCCATGGGTGCACCAACAGATTCTCTTTGGCCAGCTGTGTCCACTGGGGTCATGCCTGCAGCATAAGTGCCCTACACCATCGCCAACCCAAGTGCTTAAATGGTGAAGAGAACCCAACAGCCCCTCGATTTCTTCATCAATAAAGAATCCAAGTTGAGTTCTATCCAAAGTGTTATTTGGTTACCTGAATGAACAATTTTATGACACATGCTCCTTCTGCCTTTCTTTCCTGCTCCACATCTTTGCCACCAGGAGGCAGTGTTGGAGGGATGGCAGGATCTTTTCTCTTGTTAGTTTTAAATGTATGTATAATGAAGGAAAGTCTAGGCAAAGAGGTGGACTTCCCACTTAGCTCTAAATTCAATGAAATTTTCTTTAGCTCCCTGCTTCCACAGGTCTACTGTCCTGAGAACAAGCCCTAGAGCAACTGCAGAGCCAGAAGAAAAAGCCAGTGTTACCTTCTGATCCTTTCCAGTACGATACACCCACGGCATGGAGGCTGAATGGGTGAGAGGCCAGGTTCTTAAAGGTAACAACCACTGTGTCATAGACTTCTGCTCGAATGGTGGGGCCCAGGAGACCTAAAAGAATGAGAATGTTGCCAAGTCACTGCTGTATAGACAATCCGACTCAGCTAAAACTATGAAACACCCGGAGTCACTCATATCCTGAAGCCAGACAACAGAAGCCCAGGTGTACATGGTATTTAGTAACCAAAGGAGTAGTCATAGGCACATGTGCTAGAGATCATTCCTGGCACAGGAACTTAAAATAATATTTCCTTTTGTGGTTACCATTGTTAACCAACATCTACATGCATCACACTGAAGTAGTGTATAATGATCTGAGAGCTCTCCAGGCAGCAATAAATGGGACAACCTTAGCACATGAAAAAAGAGGGAAATTCCACGTGCATCTGAGAGTGGACATCATCAGAGACGAGAGAGGCTGGTTTTCTACTGACTTCTCATTTATAAACTGTTGAGACACACTGTGACAAGACTTGCTGTTGAAGCAGAATGGTACAACCCAGCTTAGAGTTCATGAGTCTGTGAGTGGAAATGTCATAAGCACAACCTAAGGGTCTAGATGTGCCCAGAGGCTATCCAATATGCTGTAATTACAGCGTTAACTGAGTCTGCTGGAGCGTGCTAATTAGCACGCTCCAGCCAGCCTCCGCATCTTGTGTATCAGTTTCCCCGTGCTTCAAAACGGTGCGGGGGGTGCTTTAACTAAAGCTTGTTCGACAAGGTTTAAAGTGTCCCCGCAGGGATGCTGATACACAAGATGCTGACGGTGCTTTAATTAGAGTGACTCTTGGAGCTGCTCTAATTAAAGTGCCCTCCCCGAACCCCAAAGTGTGTATAAAAATGCCCTAAGTGATTGCACAGGCTCCAGCTTTCCAAGCAGACAGGAGCCAGGTAAAATTTACTTGTATAAATCCTCCATGGGGTCACAGAATCCTGGTAATACATGGTGCAGGGAAGGAAGCACGCTGCCTTTAAGAAACCATAAACAGCCTTCCTGGGCCACAGCATGTGTCACAGTATCATGATGCATTTATGGAGAGGATGATCTTTGAAGCTCTACCTGGGATCTGAAGTGGACTGTCCCTTAAAAATCTGGAGGGCATAAAAAGCTGGAGGGGATAAGGTAGAATTTTAAAAAACAGCCTTCCTCTCCAGCTCCCTCCACTGACTCTTATGCAGGCTGCTCAGGGCTTACATCACACTTCAAAATGGAATTTAGGTATTTTTGAAAATTTTGCTCATAAACAATAACTCCTAAATCCCAAAGGACACAAGATCCCATCTGTCCTCTGAAGTTAGTAAAAATCTGAAAATAACACCAACCAGTTACCTTAAAGAGAAAGCAGTCATTAAAATAACAGCAACATCAGTGTTGTTGTAAAGGGGATCTAATTTAGCAATGTTCTTAACTGGACTTCAGTTTATTAATAATCTTTGGGGTCACATTGAATTTAACACAATTCTGATAAAAAAAACATCAAAATCAGTGCCTGCAAAATCAGCATATGGCATTTGAAGAGATTTCTTACCCTCTTGGTCCATCATCCTAAAGCTGATATGGCCAAATGGTTACAGATCAATCAGAGTGCTGTCGTAAAAGGAAGACTGGTTTTTTTCACTTAAAATAACTATCAGATCTTTATTTTTAATTGTCTTTCTCTGTAAACAGCTAAAAATTGTGGTATTTTGAAAATTATTACTGTGCAGGCCTAAGACACTGAAAGTGCTGGCTTGGACCAGAGAACAACAGAGTTTGTATCAAATTTCTGCTTTTCAAATGGCAGCTTTGTTCTGGCATTTTGCTGGTTGGCGATATTTACATAATGTATTTACATAGATTTACATAATTTGCAAGGGGCCTTAGGTTTCTTTAGTATCCCATAGTACAGGATGATTATCTATCATGCATCATCACTGTAATAACTGATGCTATCTATTTGAAATTATCTATCTAGACATCTGTACTTATCTCCTCACCACAGTATATAATCTAAATAAATACCACTTGATGTATATAAAGATATAGAACATTAGGCTGTAGATACAAATCATTCTTTTTACCCATCCAGGCTGGTTTGGACTTGGTTTGGGTGAATGAGGCATCAGTATATTCCACAAATACTGCCTTCTTGTACCGAGTGAAGGTGCCAAGGGTGGGAGGCCTTAGGCCTTGATCTCCTGGAGCCCTGAATTTAAAGTGAAAAATAAATAAATAAAAGGTATTTGCAAATCTCCCTTTTCCCAAAAACATGACTCCATTTCCCAGTTCTAGACACCAGATGCCTCATGCACCCTTCATATTTCCTGATAACCTGCAGGTGTGTTTTTACATTGTTTTTACAAGGTTCTCCGGTGATAGTACAACATGATTAATGTACCAGGATTAGTCATTTTGGAATAAGATACATCATATTGTAATGTCTTATGCTTTTTTTACCATAGAAACAGGCTGACTACATCCTTGAGCAATGGGTACAGTAAATAGACAGACAGATATGTTTGCAATCATTCTAAGGTGATAAAAGTTTTTAAGAACTATTATCTTAATGGGATCCATCAGTCCACATAATACAAAGCATTCAAGGTTACCAGGTTTCCTTGAATGTACACGTTTATCCTTGTAAAACTATAGGTGTGATAGATGTGCAGAACCAGTTCAAAGCATCCAGTTCACCTAGCCCAGTCTCCTTCTTCCAGCACTTGCCAGCATCTCATACTCAGAGGGAAATTAACCTCATCAAGTGCCTCCTCAGCTGTGCAGTACTAAACAAGAGGACTCCACAAACACAAGCAGAACTAACCTTAGGATGAACTGTGTGTTCAAAGCATGAACTTCCTACATGCATTAGACTGAAAGGCCTAGATCCCAAAAGGGACTTAGGTGTGGTGACTTTCAGTGTTCTGGCACGTAACTTTTAGGCACCCAGCTCAAGCAGTGGAGTCCAAGATGTCAAGTTTGGCATCTTGGTTTCCTGTTATTCAAATAGAAGTATATAGGTGCTTAAGATGGGGATTCACAACTCAACATGGGGGGCAGGGTACACCTAAACCAGCCAACAGAAAATGTACAAGAGAACATATCTGAAAGGCCACCTCTCCCCCTGACTTGGAGGCAGTTAGGCACCTCTATGAAACAGTGATTCACAGCCTGAATCCCCAATCTAGACTGGCTCACTTTTTTAAACTGCCTGAAGTTTGGAGCGCTTGCCTGGGAAACAGGAGATTTGGGTTCCAGGCATTCTTCAGCCTGGGGGGATGTAACAACAACCCCTTCCCTTCATGTCTTAGGGAACTGTCCTAACCACTGGACTGCATAAAAGTTGGAAAGAAGGAGTTGTGCCTCTGCTCCTAAACCTTTTTGCTAACATCTTTAACCGTTTACTAGTGAATGTGAATTGAATGAGCAGTCCTGAGAGCAGAGACAGTAACCTGTGTTTTCCATCTCCCAAGAGAATGCCCTCCTGCCTGGGCTACAGGGGCAGACTCCTACCTACTTACTTTCCTTCTGATCCCTGGACTCTGCCATTCTTAGCTGTTCAGTAGCCCAGTTTCAACAGGAAGGTTGAGTGTAAGCTCCTGTGAGGTTCTGGCAAACCGGCAAACCTCCCTGCCTGAGTTTCCCCAATTGTGAGCTGAAACTGAGGTTTGCTTATGCTCTAGGGATGTTGTGAACAGAAGCATGGCTAGGAATTCTGCTGCCCTGGGCAGGGAAGGGGAGGGAGGGCTGCCCAACACTGGAGAGCCTTACCTCCCCTCACACGGGCCACTGCTGCCACTGTCACAGGGCAGGCAGGCTCCCCACGCACGTATCTGCTGCAGTGGGACAGACTCCCTGGGGGCTGCCATCCAGGCATCCCCTCTACATCAGTGCCTGGGGCTGGTGGCCTGCTCGTCTACTCCCTAGTCACACTTCTTGTTCTGAGAATTGATCAGGTGTTTCCAGGTTTTGAAAGAGCCATATTTTCAAGCACTCCACACCCACGGGGAGGACCAGATTTTCACAAAGCTCAGTTTAACTTCTAACACCTAGATATGTATTAGACTCCATAGCCTGTTCTGGAACCTGGAATTAGAGTCCAGGTTAGATTCTGGAATTAGATTCCATAACCTGTTGCAGACTGCTCTTCTAAGAAGTAGGAGAGATGTATATTTGACTTCAGGCTTCCCAAAACCTAGGTTTCCCACTTCCTGAACAAGTGCTCTAACCACTAGAATATTTTGCAAAAAGTTGGGCAGCAGCACTCCCCCTCAGCTATGGTCTAAAACAGTGTTTTCCAACAGTGGGCTGGAAGGACCCAGCTCAGTTAGAAGGGACTTGCACTAGGGACTGGGCTGTTGCTGCTGCCACTTCTTTCTGCTGCCATTTCTTTCTGCCACCGCATGGCATGTGTGAAGCATCCAACCACCCAGCCATGATATTGTGCCGTGAAACATGGGAAAAGCCCCCACTGCAGAACGCTGTCTAAGCTGCTGCTCCACGGACCAGATGCAGCCCCAGGGCCATAGATTGCCAACCTTTGGTCTAGAGTGACTGAGCGCAGGACTCAATCCTGGCCAGGAGGCTCTGTGTACATATACTAGATGAGGCTTAGGTTTGTGAATGTTTGGCTCAGACAAGATGGTGGCCATTCTGGGCACGCTCAGTAGCTCGCACGCTCAGTAGCTCAACTCCAGGTAGCCAAGTGACAGTGATTAGGCCTGGATTTTGTGAGTAGATAGACAGATTTCCTGATAACCTGATGTAGGTGTCTAAATCCTATCTAAAGTGCAACTATGCTGCTTAAGCACTTTTTGGATCTACTCAGATTTTGGAGGGCAGAGCCCATGTATTCCCGTTTGTGCAGTGCCTATCACTGAAGTCACACAAAACAATAATGAACAAGAGGCATCATACATTTCAAAGCAACGGAGTAGATATGCACTTACATGTGGAACTGCAAATAATGGATCATTTGGCTCAGTGGTCAAAACAAAACAACATTAAAAAAAGGTTGAAGTCAAATCAAAACACCATTATTTTCACTTTTTTCAATTAAAGGAAAAACTAAAAAAAATTCACTTCAGGTCAACAAAATAATTTAGTTCAACCTGAAATAAAGAGTCTTGTTTAGTTTTGCAGGATATCAGTTTTTAAGAACCTTTCTTCCTTTTCCTTCTTTTAAATTTGGATCAGTTGCTTTTTGAAACAAGAACTCCAAAAGCTTATTTTGAAAATGTGAAAATGAAACATGTTGGCAATTCCTAAATGAAGCATCTCATTTAGAAGACACTAAAATAAAATGTTTTCATATTTCCTAAAGCCTGTTCCATATTTTTTACCTAAGACTCTTCCTCAAATTTGACCTAGTTTCATTAACAGTTTTGGCCCATCTGAAATTCTATTTTTGCTGAATTTATAATCACCCCCCAAATACCATGCAGCTCTGTGTGTATCAGATGATCGTGCAGCCCTTGAGAAATCCCTCACTAGTTAAGCAACTGGACTTCAGCCAAAGGGGTTACACAGGCACAGAAAGAAGTCACTGACTGATAGGCATAGGTCTTGTCTCCAGCCTGTCAACCACAGGGCCAACTTTGCCAGCCTCTATCTGTGGGCTGTCTGCCCCCTACACAGTGCAAAATGTTGGCCCTTCTCATGGGGGTGCAATCCTCTGGTGCGCTTCTCAATTTGTTTATTCAGAGATGGGAAATTACATAAAAAGTAGGTAGTAATGAGCTCTGCTAGTCAACCTGACTTCTGACCTATTCCAGTCTTGGTCTCGCACACTGTTTTGCCATGGGGCAGCATGCTTACAACAGAGGTGGACAATTATTTTGGCTGGAGGGCCACTTCACGAGTTTTGGTGAGCTGTCGAGAGCCGCAACGGTAGCCCCGCCCCTTGGCAGGTGCCCCACCCCCTGGTTGCCATTTTGATACCCAAAGTCTTGCCCCCCTCACCCTGACCTTTGCCACAGAAGTCCCTCCCCTTGCCTCCTGGAAGTACTCCTTTTGGGAGGGAAGGGTTGCCATCTTGAAACAAGAAAAAAAAAATCATATACTAAAGGTCAGGCACCTACTATAAACTTTTTAAATTTTATTACAAAAAAAATTGTCATGATTTGTGTTTGCATAGTGTATATAGAGATGATTGCATAAAAACTCAGAAATAAAGTCTTACTCTTGTATATTGTGTGTGTGGGGGGGTATGACTGGGGGGATGTATAGTGGGGGGTTGTGGGGCCCGGTGTGAGTGTGTGGGGTTTGTGAAGGGTGAGGAGTTGTGGAGGCCACCCACACACTCCCCCCCATCATGCACAGCCCCCGCTGGCAGCAGGAGCAGCAACAGCAGGCAGGAGCACTCGGGCACTCATGCCGGTGGTGCACAGCCCCAGCCAGTGCTGCATGTGGAGGCAAGGAGCAGAGCCAGGCTAGCTCTATTGCACAGGAGTCCCTGCAGCACATGTACAGCTCCTGCACTCACTCACCACCGGAGCCAGCTGCCTTCCCCGCCCCTGTTGTGCAGGTCCCAGGACTCCGCGAAGAAGCAGGGGCTGGGGCTCCCTTCCACTTCCGGTGGAGTCCTGGGACCTGCATGGCAGGGGGTAGGGGATGCAGCCAGCTCCATTGCCAGGGCTTCCCTCGGTGATGCGTGAGTGCAGGAACTGCATGTGCACCACAGGGATCCTCGCGTGATAGAGGCAGGCTAGCCTGGCTGCGCTCCTCACCACCACGTGCAGCACTGGCTAGAGCCATGTGCCACTGGCAGCAGCACCTGTGCCAGGCACAAGCACCCCGAGTGCCCTCGCTGCTGCTGCTGCTGGCAGGAGCTGTGAGCCATGAGGGGGAGTATGTGGGGGGGTCCCCATGTGGTAAAAATATGTTATAATCTAGTCATTATGATTTTGCAATAACGTTTGTGTAGCAGCTGTGTGGTAAAAAAAAGTCTCATCTCCCTACACAAAGGCTTCACAGCTGAGAACTGTTTAGTTTCACTACATAATTGCTTCTGCATATTATCACACTTGCTTCTGCTAAGGTATGTAGGCCAATGATAGATTTACGAGTAGCACTAGACTTCTGCAGACATAGCCGGGAACAGATGCAACAAATAACTCCTTACGAGAGATAAGAGAAGAGGCACAGGGAAAGGTGCTGATGTAAAGAACTCAGACCTTGACCAAAGAATGACCGAAATGGACTTAAGGA